GAGTGTGGCATTTTCAAGGGACAGAAACAAGACGAGCCGGGACACGGGGAGCAAGGGGAGTGTGATGCAAAATGAGCTTGCAGGGACAGAAAAACACTGTGAAGTGCCACAAAAACAGGAAGCATTTTATCCAAAGCTGGGGTTCTGAACCCTTCTTGTGCCCTGTACCCCTTTGGCAGTATGGTGAGGCATAAAGGATGAATGAAATGTTTCAATATATAAAACCGAATCAATGATTACAAAGAAAAGGAGTTATGCCAAAATATTAATAAAACAAGTGTGCTATGCTAATAGATGTAATTATACAGAATATATATGTGCTCTTTATTCACATACTCAATAAGATAAAGCAGTCTCATAGTTATCGGCTTTCTGAAGGGGAGTGGACACAATATTGCAAGACGTCTGCCACAACAATAATGTGACAAAAAATGCCTGTGGTTTCTACTGGTGACAAAATCTAGGTCCTGTTATGACTATGGCTGGCTGTCTGCTTCATAATTGAAGGAAATGCTAAATTTCACTTAGAAGGTAGTAAAAATCCAGGTGTGATTTTTCCCCATCCATGTTCCTGGACACTCGAAGTTCTGCTTAGTCTACCTGACCTTCACGGTGAACCCTGATCCAGCCTGCGTCCTTAGAGGTCTTCTACTGAGTCCGGCAGACTGCTGGGGGCTTGATCTGCGAGGACGCTTATGAGACAGCATGAACGGGACTTCTGCTTCCTCCAAACAGGTACAAAAAAGAACCAGTCTGTACGTTTCAGGACAGTACAAAGAAACGTGACAAGGTAAAAGCAAACTTGAAAACTGTTTTGCTTCCAGGATTCATTCTCGAATTAATTTTTTTCATTAAAAAAGGATGTTTGGGGACGTGGTTCCATAGTGTAGCAGTTAGCACATCTGCTTTAAATGCAGAAGGTCCTGGGTTCACGCCCCAGTGGAGCCACGGTCCATGGTCTATGGCCATGCCACCCTGAACAAGCCTGATGTCTGATCTCGGAAGCTAAGCAGGGTCGGGCCTGGTTAGTACTTGGAGGGGAGGCAACCTAGGAATACCAGGTTCTGTAGGCATAAATAATAATAATAAATAATTTAAAAAAGAAAAAGAAAAAAAGAAAAAGGATGTTTGGGTCTTGGAAAAAATCAAGGACATGAACTCCACAAACTGACAGTGAGGATAAAGTCCCCTGGTGAGAGAAAAATGGGAAGCCTACAGAACGAGTATTTTTTTGACACGTACAGAAATCTGCATAAACCAGAAAGCCCCTCTCTCTTCCTATTGCCATTTAGAGCAAACGCGCACTGTCAGAACCTGGTTTTGTGATCCCGTGACCACAGGACGATGCCAGGAATGGCCTCGGGAGAGCTCACAAGCTGTCAGGCATCGGACTAAAACCACAAAAGTGAAAAGCTGCGCTTTGCATCGATCACTCACAAACTACGCAATGCTTCTGGAACAACCAAACTGCAATTTTTGGAGAGGGAAAAGTGGCCTTACTTTACATGCCATCTGATACCTCAAGAAGCCCAAGTGGACAGTGGCACCATCTGGCATATTAAAGCACTGACACAATAGAGCACAATGGTGACAGGCACAGGCCCTGGGTCACACTGGCCAGGCTGGAACCCCGGTCCCCACCAGCCAGCTGTGCGACTCAGAGAAAATCACTTTTAAGACTCAGTTTCCCACCTGAAAAGTAACCTGCCTCCTGGGGCTGCCAGGAGAATTGCATCAGACAAACACACACAAGTAGCTGGCGCGGTGCGGGGCTCGTGCACAGAGGCTGCAGCGCCAGTCCTCCCGCGTCCAGGCCCCGTTACCTCGGTCAAGTAGCCGGTCGAGTTCACGAACTTCTCGAATTCCGCGTTACTGACTTCATAGGCGTCCATGTAAAAGGCATCCATGGTGACTCTTCTGGCGGGCGCCTCCCCATCCGGCTTTATCTGAGGGTCATCCGTGCCCATGGTAAACACGCCGGCGGGGATGAGGACCATCTGCAGCCAAAGGGCGACACAGGGAGTCACGAGCGGACCTGCGCGGGGTGCGGAGCGCCCGGGACGCAGCGAGCCCCAGACCCCACTGTCCAATCAGTCCAGTCACTCCAGGCTCCGAAGACAGTGAAGCACCAGTCACAAAAGGAAGCACCAATTCTTTAGAAAAGTAGTTTCTTTAGCCCAAACTCTACGTGACATGACACTAATCTCCACGTGCCGTGGAAACGGGTCTGGAGCGCGCGCCACCAAGCGGAGAAGGGCTGGAGGGCGGAGGCGGGAGGGCGCCCTACTTCCTCGCACCTTTAATATGCTCTTGTCCCTTCTGAACTATTTCTGAAAGCGAATATAAAAATGCCATATGTAAAATGGCATATTAATGAATATAAGAGCCCACTGAAGGAATGCGGGCCTCCAGTGATCATGAAAAAGGCTTAAATCACTGAAATGGAGGATCTAAGAAGTCCACTAAGGGACCAGGTCTTACCCCTGTTACGTCCTTGTCCTTAATTCTTTATTGAAATACTGACAGCAATGACTTGGTCTCTGTCCGCCAACCACATAAACTCTGAACTCCACGGGAGCAGTGACCGAGGCTGCCCTGCTCACATCTGTGTCCCCAGCACTGACTTCAGGTCTGAGGAAGACACCAAAAATCTTCCGTTAAGAAACACAACCCTTTGCTCAGCATCACGAGTCACGAGGAAAACGCCAATGAAAACCACAGAGATTCTGCTTGGCACCCACCAGCACGGCTATAACCAGATGGACAATAATGAGTGTAGCCAAGGACGCAGGAATATAAAATGACGCAGCCACTCTAGAAAAGTCTCTCCGTTCTTCAAAAACCCAAAAAAAAGAGCTACTATATAAGACTGCAATTCGACTCCTCTGCATATATCCAAGACACCTGAAAATGTATGTCTACATATATGTAAAGTGCACAAACATTCATAGGCACATTGTGCATAAAAAGCAGAAACAACTCAAAAAAGGAGAAACAACTCGTTCGTCCTTTAACTGATGAATAAACAAAATGTGGTATATCCATAAAATGGAATACTATTATTATTTAGTCATACAGAGGAATGAAGTTCTGGTTCATGCTACGACATGGATGAACGATAAAAACATTCTGTTAAGTGATATAAGCCAGACACGAAAGGACAGATATTGTATGATTCCACTTGCATGAAATACACAGACGGCAAATTCA